ACCGCTTAACCAGGCCAAAAGTGTATGGTTATGATTCCGTTGATTTTGTAGATGCCCTGTTAATTGTTAAGTTATCGATTCAGGTCGCCGTGTGGAATCTTATCGGTGTACCAACGAGGACCAATGTATAAACCTTGATTCAGCGAACCTTGGAGGGTCGGTGCCTGTTTACTCTAGAAACGACAAGACTTAGTTCGTATCCGACTCCTTTGTTTTTATAGGGATCTGGACATAGAAGTTCACTCGATGTCAGGTGTTATTAAGCCGATAACTCAAGGCAAAAACCTTTTATTGCAATGGGCTACCAATCTTTCAGAAAAAAGAGCTAGCAATCTCAACAGAATGCTGCCCAATAGAATTCTAGCCTCCATGCTCTTCAAGGACTATTTGGAAACTTTTCAACCCTTGGCAGCAAGAAACAGGATAACACTGTGCCGAGTGCTTAATTACTGCGCTATAGAAGAAGAAGGGATCGCCGACGAACTCGTGGCGGCAGGCTTTATTCTTGTATGGAATTTACCAGAAGACGTTCCCGTACTCGGTTTCCAGGGAAAGTAGTGCAAAAATGGGAGAGTAAAATCGGTCCTCTCTTTGTCAGAATTGCCAGATCTTACCCGAAAAATGTTTGATGGTAAAATCCGGTAACGTGTCGAAACCAATGAATGGCTTAAATACTTCCAACCCCTTAATACTGAGAATTTGTCAACGAATGTTCAGTGCGAGTCTTTTAAGGAAGCTTATGGCGTTTTGGGCTGTCAGGGTTAAGGAATTATCATAAATAGGTATACAAGCAGATACAAAAGTGTCGCTTCGACGTAAATACTTTGGAATATAGTTTAAATTTGTACCAAGTCATAGTCATAAGCTAAATATGTATCGTTTTAAGACTTTTTCAATTCTGCTCGTATCGCGTTTGTATCAAACTACAATCCTAATTACAAGCTTATGTATTTAGTACACAAACATGTCGTCGTGAATGTTGATGACATTCTCCTGTACCCGTAAAGAATAGCAGAAATTGAGGATGCAATCTGTCTGCAACCTTTTCCATGACTGTTGCATTTCAGTTGCATTAACCAAATCATCATTTGGAAAGCCATCCCTCATGTTAAATGGTCATTGGCATATCCACACTGCAATCAGCAGAATGCACATTTATGATTGACAATGATGAGAGTGCTCCATTTGCTGATGGATAATATCGTAGTATAACTGCAACTGCTGCTGTCTCCAAATGCAACTGCTCCACCCTCTTAAATACACTACACAGACTGCACTCCAATGAGTATTTATTTTAATTACTGAAATTGCATTCAAGTGCGTTCATATGCTATTTTTGGAACCCAATCTCTAACCAACCTGACCACATGCAAACCACACTCACATCTGATAATCACACATCCACAAACACAAACTTCATACAAGTACATGGGACTACATATATTTGCTAACTTGTGGTTGCGTACAAGCATCTCTACGCACTTGTATGCATTTATGAATGGGAGTTTGTGCCATAAGTGCTTAGCTATCTGGTCAGTTGAGCGGTGACAGTCAATCAGCAATGCTATGTTGAGCTTCATTTACCCCCAGCCCGATTTTCATATCAAAGTTGATTCAGGTGAATTTGTGTTAAACGTCATCATTTGTGGTAAATGGTTTTGGCAGCAGCAAAAATAGCAACAATAACCGTTTAACAGAGCGATGCACATGACAAACATTGCGTAACATTGTCAAATGAAATGATAACATTGAAATCAAATGCGTTACATTCGAAACACTAGAATGGATTTGATAAATGTGCCCATTTCCGGCAACACAATGTTACAAGAGCAAAGAAACAATGATTTCTGAAATGCACCAGTACCGTTACTTTAATTTGCTGCTTATTTGTAGTTAAAGGCTAAATAACAAGGCATAAATACAGGGTAATTAAAGACTGAAAAGTGTTTGGTTTGGAGATGGGGTAATTTCCTCCATTAAACTCATACAACTTAAAATAAATGGAGTTTTTGGATTTTTAGTTTATAAAAAAATGGATAAAGGGTACGGTATATCGCTGCTTATGACTGATATTTCGCATATGAACATGACACAACAAACGTATAAGGCTATATGAACTTGAACGGGACTGGACCTTTGGACCCATGGACTATAAGATACAGACCTCAATCTTCACGTCGACATACGAATGAGGAATCGCGTTTTTCCCCAACGTAACGTCGAATCGGCCTGGCAGTTCCGGCAAAAGAATGTTCTAAAATCCTTGGAAACTATATATTGGAGCAGTGACACAAATCTGCAATGATGGACGGGCTACTACTGAGCCAATCATTCAAGTGTCTGACCTTTACTGGATGTTCTGGGAGCGGCTGAGGCAAACCGTTTAGTAAACCAGCAGTGCTATCATCCCGAAAGCGATCAGTCGACCACCTAGGATACTCGCATCCAACCACTGGTTTTGTCCTCCGATGATTAGTCAACTTAGTTTGGCACCAGATGGTTCTGAAAGACTAGCTGCAATCAAAGAACGACCGCACCTTTCACCGTAATCCGATAACAAGGCGCGGAAGAGAAACATTTGGAAGGGTTCGCTGGTCTAAACACGGTTAGATCAACGAAAGAACAACCGTGTAAAACCAGAGTCATTCTACTAGATATGACCGGCTGTTCTGAGACGTAGGCAACGTACATAGGTCCTGCATGTGAAATTCTCTAGCATGACAATAGCCACTCCTTCACATTCACCCACAAGCTCACTTCGAAACAACCCGTTTCCTCGGGACTTTAGTTATCGATCCTTTGTACTTACATAGGTCTAACAGATCATAACAAAGTATTGATCAAGACTCAGTTTAGCCAAGGCTGGGCAGTTGTGGAGTTAGTGTTCGAGTTTAAATCTTTGTTTGGTCAATTCCGAACGTTCGTTTCATATATAAACTTTAAAGGCTCAGGTTATTGGTTTGTAAATGTGTTTGTAACAAATATGTAACTAGCTTAATCAACCTAGTGCCTGCTTAGCAAATTATCTCACGGCATTCCCACTGAAATCTTAATATGCATGTCTGAAGCCCGAAAAATTTTCCTACCACTTACTATGCTTTACATTGACTCTAGCTCTGATTGGTCCCATAAAGCTGAGAGTAATTTTTCCTCTTAATGACTCCTCGCCGGCAACAGAAAATTTCTCGCAACGAGAATGGCATTCATAAAATGCCATCTAATAGTTTCCCTAAAATATCGAATGCAAAGTGTAGTACCAAGATAGCCACCACAGCCGATAGGCTCTAAAAGTAAGGACACGCTTGATCTCCAAGGAGACACATTCCCAACTTGCACATGGCCGTACCGAAAGTACATTCGGTACAAATATCCCATTTTCCTAAATTCACAAAGCTATTTCGTTCATTGTGCAAGCAACAGATCACCTAACCCGGCGATCGTTGTCGACAAGCTCAGCTCACAGTGAGCCTAGAAACCTTTTATTTCATAGGGTCAGGTTCAAGGAGAGGGTGGCTTTAGCTGAGTGGGTTTCAGACGAGTTAAAGTTTGTTATTTCCTGCCCAGGAATTGCGTCTAGTGGTTTATCGGTAGATGTCTGCTCTTATCCGTGAATGGACGTCAGTTAAAGCGTGAGGAAAGCAAGCTGTGGAAAGTCTCCTTAAAGTGTCGATTCCGGTTAGACTCCATGTGAGAAGCCTGTTGAGGCTGCCGAACCCCTCCAATCGTTGCAAAACACGGTCTCTAATCATTGTTCGGGAATACAATGTCGTAGAATCCTGGTGAAATATATGTGTAGAAAATTTTAACATCTACCTTAGTAGTTACACTCTCACTAAGGATACATTTCCTCCGTGAACTACTTCAGAAATAAGAATTGTGCTGGATGAATGACTTGTGAACATAAAGCTTCCCTCTTCAAGATATTTTTGCGAAATTTTCACTGGCTATATACTAGGGTGATTGAATCGATTTTTCCAAACCGGTCTCAACCGTTTTTTTTAATATTTTTGAGCGTTTTTTTTATCTTGCTTTTCGAATAACGAGTAAACCGGATTTTTACAATCGAATGAACGGGATTTTCCCCTACTTTATTTACATAGGATGACGGATTTTAACCGTCACCGTGTTGAGTGTAAGGGGTCTGGATGGAACTTATTTTACCTTACTAATTCCTAAATTAAAGCTATACCTATTTTTATCAGTCATATTGTAACTTTAGTCATGATTTCTGACTAAAAGTAGGTAGTACTGTAAAGAAAATATCTATATAAAATAAAACCGGTTTTTTAGAGTTTTTCTTAATTTGAAAATGAAGAGCCGTTTTTCTTCAAATTGCCATTTTTGGAATAAGTTGAAAATTAGTTTTCGAAAAAATGTGAATAATAGAACACCCTATGAAGTACATGCTGCGCGCCATAGCTCAAACGGTATTTAGCAATCTCTACCTTCCCACTCTTCTACAAAGTCGTTTTCTTTTCCACAAACTCCTCGACGCAGAGGGCCTAATGTGCCTTTTATGTGACCACCAAATTACGCCTTTTAATTTTAACGTGACGTTTACTTCGATATTTGATTTCATTTGTAAAAAGATTGCTCGAAAACAACAACAACATAAACAATGTCAATAGCAGTGCAGCACCGCCGGCAAAAGCTTTTGCATTTTTGTTTTTATTGCCATTTAATGTTTCTGATGCTGGCGGTGAGCATTTAACGTTCCACACGCGCTTAATTAAATTCACTTTAACTACTCGCAGTGCAGTGAGTAGTAAGAGTAACAAAAAACAACAACACATTTTGCTACACACATACGCATCAGCCTGCGTGTACCTGCAGCCGAGTGTGTTTATTTATCAGCCCAACCAAAGCGTTATCACTCACCCTCACCTTTGTGGTTGAGACACACATACACACACACACACATGCACACACGCACTCTATAAAACTTATCTCTCCTGTTGTGTTCGTTGCGCTTTTCATTGTCCTCTTAAGGCGGGTTCACCGTTCGTGTCCGGACAACTTTTTATTTTCTCTCAATAATTTTTTGTCGGAGAGAGTGCTGAAGTACGGTTCACCGTTCAGTTCGGCACATTTTATTTGCCTCTAAAGTCAATAGCTGATGAACTGTCATTTGGGTGAAATTTGACGTAGTGAAAAAGTAAAATAAATAAAAAGCTGCCAAATTTGAATTACAATATGGAAAGGCATCAACAAATCCAATTATTTTGCGTGGAAGTTCAAAAATTTTGCCTATTAATTAGATTAAACCGCTTGAAGCAGAAAAGCAAAAGGTCAAGAAGCTGTGCTGTGCGTAAATTACTTTTGGACCGAGGCAAAGATGGTTTTTATTTTTCGCGCATACCAAAGATGCGTTTGAATGACGTTCAATCGTTTATAAATTTTCACCGCATGGATCCGACGACCTTCGATGAGCTCCTTCACATTTTGGGACCCAACTTGAAGAATCAACCCAATAGATTTAATGAAGAAATATCACCAGGAGAAAGATTGGCTCTTACTTTAAGGTAAACGCTTTAAGGAAATGATGTTTTTTGGAAGAAATCTCCGTCACTCATTGCTAAATTCGATTGGGAGACAAAACAATTTCAGTTCGTTTAACCTCCAGTGGTGATGCGTTCCAAAATAGATAATATACACATTATGTACTTCATTGACCTGCCCTTTTGGAATAGCCAGCCACAATGAAGCCCGAAATAAATTTTAAATGTGCATTCTATAGTAAACCGGCTGCCTTTATAGATATTTAGCGAGTGGAGATAGCATGAAATCAGTTGGGTTTTATGGATTTCTAATTGGCGCTTCGACCACATCTAATATTGTAAGGGAAACCTGTCAACAGATATGGGAAAAATTACAATATGTTTTCCCTACCCCTTCTGAAGACATGTGGAAAAGTACTTCAGACGAGTTCTTTTTGGAATGGGACTTTCCCAATTGCTTAGGTGCAATAGACGGGAAACATGTCGTAATACAGGTGTGTATAAAAATATTATATATACACATATACAGGCGTAAAAGATGATTATAAAATACCAAAATTTGCAGGCGTTTCCGAACCACAATTCGCTTACTTACAACTACAAACATACGCACAGTTTGGTTTTAATGGCAGTGGCCGATGCGCACTATAAATTTATAATGGTAGACATAGGTGCTTTAGGGCATAATAGTGACGGTGGAGTGTTTAAAAATTCAAAATTTGGCAACAGTATTTTGCATCACCCGCAAAATATGAAAATTCCTGGAGAAAAAGTACTTCCTAACACAAATGAAATTGCTCCTTTTGTTTTTCTCGCAGATGAGGCATTTCCTTTACGAAAGAATATAATGCGTCCATATCCTGGCCGAAATGTTACGAACTTGCCTCAAAAAGAATTAATATTCAACAAACGCCTGTCCAAAGCGCGAAGGGTTGTTGAAAACGCATTCGGAATTTTATCCAGCCGTTTTCGGATATACCGCAAACCAATTATTGCAAGCAAGGAAACTGCAATAAATATTGTGAAGGCTACAGTGTGCTTGCATAATTGGCTTCGAGACAAAAGCGCCTCCAATTATTTAAACGCGGATGAAGTTGAAGAGGACAGCGAATTAGACATTACCCGAATTGGTTTACAACCAATATTATCTTCTCGAAGTAATCATGCCTCACAAGAT